TCTCTTTCTCTTTCTCTCTCTCTCTCTCTCTTTCTCTTTCTCTCTTTCTCTTTCTCTTTCCCCTACTCTTTCTCTCTTTCTATATATATATATATATATACACTCCACATCTCTCTCTCTATCGTTCGAGAGTACTCGCGAAACTCTTCGCCACGATCTTACTCTCCCTTCTCCCACCCCTCCTATTTCTCTCTCTTCACTCTACACCGACTCCTATCTCTCTCTCTCTCTCTCTCTCTCTCTCTCTTTCTCTCCCTCTTCCAACGATATCTCGGCGACTCTTTTCCTTTTCATATTTCTATCCCCTCCATTATATCCCTCTCTTTCTCTCTCTCTCTCTCTTCTCCTCGTCCTCCTCTTCCTCCTCCTCCTCTTCTTCTTCTTCGTCTTCTTCTTCTCGTGACGAATATACGCGTATGTACGTATGTCTATACGTTACGACGTACCTACGTACATAAGTATTCATATGTATGCCCGCGCAAAAATATGTATGCGCGTGGCTCGCGTACAGCACAAAATTACGTTCGGAAGACGTTTTTGGTTTGCGAGAGCCAGATGTTGCTCTTCCTCAACGCGAAATACTTTCATAATCGGTCGACGTAGTGTGCGCGTGCGCGTACGCGTACGCGCTTACATGCGTTAGTGCGTGAGTGAGTGCTCGCGCATGCGCTCTAACCAATGTCGCCTCACGCGGGCTCGTACCGTTCGAATTTTTCCTCTCTCTTTCTCTTTCTCTCTCTCTCTCTCTCTCTCTCTCTCTCTCTCTCTCTCTTTTCTCTCTCTTTCACTTCCCCCATTCTCACCCACTCTGCGCGCTTCAGAGACATTTTATATTCGCTCGATCTTAACATTATTTATTTCTTTTATTTTTCTACGTTGAATTTATCTATATATCTTTTTACGCTGGGATACCATTTTCTATTTTGCTTTTCGTTTCTTTTTTCTTTACCTTTTTCGAAATAGATTAAGTCTCATAAAACTCTTTCTTTTGTTTCTTTCTCTCTCTCTCTCTCTCTTGTGTATAGAAGAAATGCCCGCGAAGTTTGAAACGTTGGAACAATAGACGTTTTATTCAAGAATAAAAAAACCAATGATTATATATTCTCATACGTTCGTTGTTTGTGTTGTTTTGTAGTATTGTATCGTGTTGTATTGTGTTGTTTTGTGTTGTATTGTATTGTTATGTTATGTTGTATTATTGTTGTTGCAGTCTTCATTAAGAGCAGAGAAACAGTGGTCGTCATTGATCGTCGATTATCTTTCCTCGCAAACTCGAATGCCATCGTAAAAAGTCTCGGGCAACACGTTTGTTGGCGTTGGTGTTGCTATTGGTATTGGTATTGGTATTGGTATTGCTGATGTTACTTGTGTGTTGCCGTACTCTTGCTGATACTGCCGTGAGAAGAGTGGCCGATGAATGAGCAAAAAAAGAAGGGTATTACTGATGGTGGACCTTGGATAAAAGATCGGG